TTCCGTTTATTCATTCATAAAATGGAAGTGACAACAACAAAAAGTATAAAAGAGAAAAAAAAAATGAAATAAGAACGAGGTAACGAACTTAACATAAAATTACACACATAACTATACAAAATTTCATTTAGGTATTATTCATACATACACATATTCATATACCATTCCAATGTACATTTATACATTTATATACGTATGTAAATTTTTAAACCATTCATAAAAGTTATACCTGATTGCCATAAAAATGTTAAGTTTATCAAATAACAGTAAAACCTTAACAAAATTGAAACGAATATTGAAATAAAATATTTAGAAATCAGAAGCCTGACAGTGTATCACACATTTTTATTCGCCGAATCAGAAAGTGACAGAATAATTGTGTAATGTCTTATTTTGAAGTGGGAAAAATTTACTTGTATTGCGTTTCTAATTTTGTAGAAATTGTATATTTTAAATTTTAATTGAAAATATCATATTTATTAAAGATGACGTACTCAATTAAAAAGGTCAGAGTGCTGATTTGAATGGGAATAAATAAGATAAGGAGGTGACTGAATACTTTTGATGCAATACTTATTTTAAGAAAATCAATATGAGCTTATTTCGAAAAATTATATAAGTTTATAATTATGTAACTCTAACATTGACAGGAACGTCAATGTATACTATTATGAGCATATTCAAATGATTAAAACCGGAAAAAATTTAAAAAAATTTGAAATATACAGTTTAATACAATGCGATTGGTACTAATAATGGCGCATTAATCTTACTCGTACATTTAAACTTAAATTAAAAATTCGTTTAATTGTGTTTAATTAATTAGTTTAATTAATTTAAACTATTATATTTAAATTGAAATGGAATTATTAAAGACAAATTAAAATAAATTTCAAAAACCAAAAAAATTTTTTTTAAAACAGAAAAATTTTCAGCATTTTTCTCTTTCATTTTATGAAGGTTTTACTGTAAAATATCATTTTTACGCAAGTTTCATATATGTATGCATGTATACTTCATAAGGCAAACAAATACACGCATACATGCAACTGATAAACATATGCAACGTATTTAGTTACTCACACATTCATTTATTACCCATGCAATCAAACAATTTTATTTATTTAAGACCGGAAGAAAATGTTGAAAAATTAAAGTAAAGAAAGAAGAAACAGAAGAAAAAAAGGAGAAATAAAAATTTAATGAAAAAGACTTCGTCTTTAATTTCTTGAATAATAAAGAAAAATCCGCTTTAAGCCACAAACCAGCATTCCAACTACAATGTTATTAATTAAAAAAATATTAAATGTACGGAGAGCAACTGTGGGTATTATAACGAGATACATATGAGATAACAGTGACATTCCCGTATTTTATTTTAGAACAATAAGAAAACATATTGACAGTTCTTTTTTGAACAAGGTTTTGTAATTAGAGTGTATGTTGGTTGAAGTGATAAATTAGAAAATTTATAATTCTAAAATAAAATAGGGTAGAAGCCTATTTGACAGTTATGAATTTAGGTTCAACTTTTATTAATCAAAAAGATATGCCGGAAAATAAAAAGATCTTTTAGTTTTTTAAAAATAATGTTAAGTTATAATGAAATTTTACATTAAACCGGACAATAATCACAATGATTGTGATGACGACGCTAAATGATTAATTTTAATTTTCTTAAGACTATTTTAAAGACAAATTAAATTAAGGTAAACGTTTCAGATTGATTGTGGCATTCCCGAATTTTTTGAATACAATTATTTAAAGTTAAACTTTGAAAACATGAGTCGCGGCGGGATTTTTTAACAACGTGTACTAAAATTTGAAATGCTTAAGAAATATGAGTAAGTTCCGCAAAGAGATGAAAATAATGACAATTTTACATAAAAAAAGCGAACATTTAGTAAGAATAAATTTGACAGTTTCTCAACGTGCCAATATTTCAGTTTTAATAGGTTATTTAAATTGCATTCAAATTTTAAGTTTATGATGCTTTAGTCAGCCTAATATGGTCACAAATTGCAAGTAAAATTTTGGCAGCAAAATACACTAATTCTAATTTTTAGTCTTAAGTTATATAAAACCCTATTAATTTAACAGCAGGCCATTCCATATACAACTCCAAAGTGAATAAAAAAAAATTGACTTTACTATACTTTCAGTGGAGATTATTACAGCGGTATGTGCATAATTAAATTTTAATGACAATAGTTAGAAATTAAATGAATGATTAAATCATTGTTACGTTCATTCTCTATTTAGTAATAGTGTTACCATATAAGCATGACTAAAATAAACAAAAATAATTTTGAGAATAAGTAACTTATTTGCTCATATTCAATACTGAATGTATATAGTTTGGTTTGTTATACATATACATATAAGATTATAGGAACATATGTACATATATATGTACAATTAGTATTTTTAAAATATAAAAAGACAAACTCCTTAAATAAGTTGGAATTTAAATAAAAAATTACAAGGAAAACTTAAGGGTGTTAATGAAAAAAAAAAATAAATAAATTCACTTAAAAAGGAAGTAGAAATGAAAATATACATATATACATACATGTATATATGTAATCACATATTAATTAAATTCATTCACAAAATAATTAAAGTTTTCAAGCAGTTTCTCTTAAAATTTTGTGTACTTAATAGTTGAAAAACGCTCCATTTTGTTATATACAATTCTAGTATGTGAATTCCCAACAACAAAAGTAGTGTTGTAATTTTATTAAAATTATACATTTATGCACATATAATCTTTATATATGTACACTAATATACAATAGATAGAGAATAGGGAATGGAACGAGTAGCGAAAGCAACAATGAGCTCAATATAAACTATAATAATAGTACTATTAGCGAAATAATAGCATAAAACTACGAGGCTACGACAATAGAGCAACAACAAAAAAACGGAAAAACGTTTGCTAGATAGCCAGCCAGCTAGGTATTATGATGAAATCCAATTTTTCCTTTTCTTTGTTTCATCTTTTTTTTATTTTTTTTTTGTGCTTTTTTTGCCATTGTCAAACACTTATGAGATCACAAAGTACGTGTTTTTTTTTAATTTTTTTTTTCTTCTATTCTTATTTATCTACAAGAATGTATATTAGATTTTATATAACATTATAAATTGTATATGTATAAAAAAAATGCGATATACAAAGAACATATAATTACACTCAAACGTACATGAGAACACAAATAAGATTAAGAGTATGTAATAATGTTTTCTTTTTAATGATATCGTGACATTGAATGCAAAAAAGCAACTAAAGGAAAAATAAAATTGTAAAAAAATAATAAAAAAAAGCAGAAAGTAGAAAAACATAAAACGAAATTCCAAAAAATAAAAGAAAATCTTGGATTTCCTTCCGGACAAAAGAATTTTTTTGTCTTACTTTTTCCTCTTTTTTTTTTGTCTTTCATCTGGCTTTCATATTTTATTTAGCTATTCTTGTACATTTATTTCTAATTTTTATTATTATTAAACCGGAACTGAATTAAAATAATCTTTTCTTTTATTACTAGCTAGAATTTTATGCGCAAGAATAAAATATTTTTTCTAGAATTTTAGAACATTCAATGGTGTTGGTATACGAGTATTCATACATATGTATATGTAAATGCACATGTAGATAAAAATTATGAATGAATTTGAATAGAGTCAAATTGAATATTTTTTGGTGCAATGTAGCTAGCCAACGTTTGAATGAAAAACTTGAAATAAAATTGAAAATTAAAATAAAATGAAAAACTTATAAAAAATATTAAAACCAAAAAAAAATTCTTTTTAAATATTTCATTGAGAAATTCGTGAAAAAATTCTTGCGGACGTAGCTAAATAGAAAAAAATTAAAAATTTTTGAAACGTAGACAGAAGTACATTTAGAATTGTCAGGTTTCTGTTTCAGTTGGTAGCTACACATCACATTCATTTTGTGGCTTTATGCAAAACTTTTGACAACAAATTTCAGTTAACAATTGTCAGCTTACCCCACATTATATCTTAAAAATTTGACAGAATAATTTCATATTTCGATAGATTCGATTATTCATCAGATTTTCACCAAGTGTGATTTCATCTGATATGTAATAGCAACAACGTGGCAGTGATGACCCAATTACCATAAATTTTTTGATTTTCTGTATTTCTTCTGTTATTGGCTTGATTCATAATCTTTTAAGATTTTTGTCTATTATTTTTTGTACACTAAGTTCAGTAATTTAGTATACCTGTTCAGTCCATTCAAATTTGATATTACTTACGACTTTTAATACTATTAGTAAGGGATAATAATGAGTCATTTTCGTTAAAATTTTTTATGAAACTAATTACAATTTGGTAATTAACTTTTTTTAACAAATTCCAAATAATATGACATAATTTCCGTCCTATATAAAAGTCATTGCTTCTTCCAAAAATTTCCATGTGTACATAGATTACCTACATACGTATATGTATATGCAGCCTCATATGACAAAAAATGCAAACAGAAAACAAAAGCAAAATAGTTAAAATATTTTGATTAATGTTTAAATATTTTTTGGACAATTATATTTTAAAAATTTTTTTTTTTGGCCACATGACCAAATATACATATAAATTCGGCATTTTGATATACCAATCAAAAGAATATTTTAGATTTCTTTGAGCAAGAAATCAATCTTCCAATAATATAAATACATATGCACATATATTTAAAATTGTAAATGATCTATGTATGTAGCTAGAAAAAATTCAGAAATGTAGGCTAATTGATTACCTTACACAATTCTATATGAATATAATGTATATATAATTTCCGAATTTATTTAAGATTTTCATCAAGTATTAAATTTGAATAACAAAATGGCAGCAATCAGAAATATTTATAACTAATTTTAAATACTCATACAGATTAAAAATAAAAAATTCATTTCATTGTCGTACTTATTTGTCAACAAAATGTAATAAATATAGAAAATAATAATTAAATTACTCACATCTTTACTGGGAACACATATTGGTGTACCTTCTTTGACAATACCATTTTCGACCATAACACCCATAACAATAGGATCACGTGAATTGAATATAAATTGTGGCAGTATCTAAAAAGTAAAAAAAAAAGTTTTAAATTTATTATTTAATTTTTGACATTAGAAAAAAAGAATTCTTTAAATTGGAATATGAAATGAGTTTTTCAATAAGACGAACTAGATTTCAAATTGGAATTTAATAGGAAATTATATTGGGGGTAGCCATAATTGTGTGATTTTGTTGCTGATTTCGTTTAGAAAAGTTCGATATAAAAAGTTTGTATCAAGAAATTTTGAGAAAAAAAAGTTTCACAAAAAGAAGATGATGCTCTAATTTAAAAGGGACCAAAAATCAAGATGAGCTTTGCCAGATCAAACACCATAGGAATTCACTAAAGTCAGTTTCAAGCAAAATTTTCACTCTCCGCTATTTGTTAAAAGAACTCTTCCGCTATTTGTTAAAATTTTTCTAATTATTTTTTTTTCGACTCCGCGTATTCGACTTCTTTTGGATCACTCTACTTGTTAAATATACAACAATATTCAAGTTTTCATATTGAACCAATTGAAAAACTCTTTGTATAAACTTAAGTGAGAAATCGCTGAATTAAATTCTTTTTTTAATTTTTTTTTTTTTTTTAATTAATAATAAGTTAATAATTTGTACCTTAAGTTTGCATGGAAATACAGCAATACTTCGAAATTCTTCTCGTTTCCTTTTTTTCAATTCTTCTCTATATGCCATAAATTTATCAAATAAATGATAAATAATATCCGCTTGGAATATTTTAACACCTAATGAATCAGCTAATTCTTGAGCATCACGTTCTACTTTAACATCAAAAGCTAAAATTGTTGCATATCTGCAATAAAAAAAAGAAAATAATTTAATTGAGAAAAAAGAGACAAAATAAAAACTAAATAAAAAAATATTTTATTTAGGATTAGTTTCCGGAGTTCCTTTTTTTATAATAAATTAAAGACAATGCAAAATATTTCCGATATATGGGCAATTTTATCATTAAATTAGCTCATATAAGTAACAATTTTTTTTTTTAAATCTTTATGGCATCAAATTCTCTTACATCCTCCAACTCACACATTTACCTTTTGTTTTTTTTTCGTTTTATTAAAATTATCACCATTTCCACATTTGAAATATAAAATCAATGTCTAAGTTTGTTCAACCAGATTTCTTCAATCACAAACGAAATTGAAAATGAATAATGTACTGCAAGTAAACTCACAAAATCAGTTCAGGTGTCATATTATACTTATAAGCGTGTACATAATTAGCAAATGATCTCTACTGAATTTTTAATTAACTTAAGCAGACATTAATATTTTCTGAATTGATTCTCCTTTTTAGCACTTTTCCAAAAAATGTTTAAAAAAAAGTGCTTATTGGTTTCACTCCGTCCATCCGTCCGTCCGTCTGTCCTTGTGTCTTTTTACAAAACTTTTACACCCTTGAAGATAGAAAGTTGAAATTTTATATTTACATAGATCTTTACAAGAAACTTACTTCCGTAGAACAAAATGTTTATCTTTCTCCGCCCTCTTAAAGTTATACCCCCCCAAAACCTTAAAAATACCATTATTCAACTATTTATTGTAGTAGAACCATATGGATTTTTCAAATTTTGCAAACGCAGAAAGGCAGCGGCTTGCTTCTCCTATCGTGGCATACTATAGTTAAACTTTAAAAAAACAAAATGGCCGTTCAAATTTACCGTTATCTAACATCCGTTTTTTCCAAATTTTTGATGCCGTTTTGCTAGCAAACCCCAAGTTGTTCAAGTATGAAATTTTAACAGCTTTTAGACATTCATGAAGAGTTAATTTCATTAGAAGAAAATTTTTCCCCACCTTCACCCCCTCATAAGTAATCGGCTCACAAAATTTGAATATTTGACGCCTTATATTTGCAAAACCGCAAGCTTTTTCAAATATCTATAAACTCGGAAAGATAACGGTAAATGTCATTAAAAAATATAATTATTTTTCTTAACTCACACAATTAATTCTTAAAATCGAGCATTTTGTTAACCCCTCTTTAAACTAATTTTTGATTTATTTCAAAGACTGCATAAATCGTTCATCCTAAATATATGCAATTCTAGAAATAGTTTTGTATATCAATGAAAATAATTTTAACAGTGTGGTAGGTATACATAAATAGTTTTTAAAAGCAGTATTTTCACTTGCTGAAGGGAAAAGTGCTATACAATACAAACCATTGGTTTGACCCAACTTTGTTTTCTTTAAAGATTCTATCAACATTTGTGCTAAGAATATAAAAACTTCTTTTTTAGAAGTTTTTATATTCTTAGCACAAATTACATTTCGCTAATATAATTCAATGTCAAAATAGTATCCTAAATTTCATTCCAAATGTATTGTATTATTTAATATAGATACGTAATATTCATAATTATTTTAAAATTGCAAGCATCTGATTATGGATTTATGGAATTCTAATAACACCAAGCTTTTTTGAAGTATACGTTATAAATATTTTAACATATTGATATTCAAATTGTGATTGATAAAATTCCACAGCATATTTAAAGTAAGAAATAAAATTAAATCGCTTATTTTCTTCTTAATAATCAAAAATAGACATTTTAATGGGAAATTAATGTTGAATCTTATTCAAATAAATTTTAGAGTAAATTTTTGAGAGCATACATTAAAATAAAGATTTCTTGCTAAAAAACATTTTCTAAAATTTCTTATTTTGTATTTTTGAAAAGTTCATTTTGAATTTATTTAGAAAACTACTGATAACATTGAACTGAATAACTTTCTAAGAAAGTTATCTAAAATGCATAATCATAGTGTTATATATTATACCGCAAGATGTCGCTAACCATAATATCTTTACATACACATTAATAATTGTAAATAAAATGAAATGTGTCAAAATTAATGGCTTGTATTAATAAAAAAGGAAATAACACCTAAATCGAAATGAAATTTTTCCAATTATGAAAGGACGAATTCAATCCAAAAATTTTCATACATAAGATAGATGTCGCTACTTAAAAATTTCCCAAATTTTTTAAGTTTTTTGCGTACAACACAAACATATTGCCAAAAATTCAGTTTAATTACCAATAAAACATGTGTTTTATGTCAAAAATATTTGCTATACACAAAATTTTTAATTTCTTGTCTTAAATTGGTTTAAGGTATGGTATCTCAATAAGCCCAATAAATACATTACATAAAACCTCATATACGTACAATTCAAAATATAAATGAAAGATGGCACCAGACCTTTCTCATTTACATAGCGTTCATCGCAAAATAAGCCTACCAACTATGTGAAATTTCAGTTACAAAAAATCGTGTTTTATAATGTAATTTGTATGTTCATAATTAATTACTATGAATGAAGCTAGTTTCGTAGCGTATTTATTATGCATAAATATGTGTAAACCCACACACACATATGTATATAAATAATGAATATCATTGTTAGAAACTTAATAATTATGCATATATGTACACAAAAGCTAAAATTTCATTGAAGTTTTAAAGAATTCTATAAATTTTGTCGTATATGAATTCAAGTATGTATGTACATATGTGTATGACATAGTAATGTTACGTACGCAACAAATAATATAATAATGGACACAAAAAATTATATTTTATTCACTTGTAAATGAATATCTGCTCGTACTACCGAGTAACCCACTTTAAATTTATGCTTTCAATAAAAAAAAAAAATTAAAAACAGCTACAACGATAAAAACAATAAAAAGTAAGAACAATAATAACAGTAAAACAGAAAATTAAAAATTAAAAATATCAAAGAAACAAAAAAAAAGCCTTACACAACAGAACGGATGTTGCAAAGTGCTCTTATTGTAAATTGATGCCTTGGACAGGAAATCAAAAACAATTTTTGCTTTTATCTTTTATTTTTTTTTGTTTTTGTTGTTTTTTTTTTTTTTTGATATGTATGTATATCATGGCAAAATAAGTTCTGATATACGTAATATGTTTAAAAATCATAAATACAGTGCTCGCCAAAATTATTTGCATTGTTGACATTTTAAAAATGATAGCTTAAACTTTAATTTTCCTATATTTATTTATTTATTTCGCCATGTCTAAAGAGAAACTAAAACGTTCTCATAAAAAGACTGTACATTTTAAATTTCATTTCAAAAATTCAAAACCTTCAGGTTAAACTTAAATTATAATTATACTCAATGTTACAGGAAGGGTTACCATATAACCTATATGAAGGCCTGTAAAACAAATTTGTCGTGGTAAGCCCATAATTTCAGATCCGTCTCATTTTTTATAATTTTATTTACGTAAAAGGTTGAATAGCACTTGAGCAATCAAGAACAAAACTTAGTCGTAACAGTTTATTAAAATTAGTCAGTTAGAGAGAAAAATACTTTTTACCACCACTGTACGTATATATTTATTTATGTATTTAGTTTTATGTATAAAACATATAAACTATATTAGCGTTTGAAACTTACATCATCACACTTTTACAGTTTATACAGTAATAAAAGGTTGTACTAGAAAAAAAATTTTTGGACTCAGAAAACGATGAAATTTATACATAGCATATGTATAAGTAATAGTAATTAGCATGAGTGGAAACTGTAGGATACTCTTAATATATGAGCATTTGATTAGAGAAAAAGAAAAAACAAAAAAATAAATTTAGCTAAGAATTTATTCATAATTTTCAAAATAATCCCACTATTTTAAAATGTAATTGATATGTAAACTATTCGAACAGCCTTAACCAAAAAAAAAGAAACATATTTACCCTGACAAAGGAAATACGAGTATAGAATGAAAGTCTATCCAATTGTTTGTGCTTCATTTTTTAAACTTCTTCGGAGTAGTTGAAGATAGTTTGTAAACGGAGTGATGTTTTGTGTGATGAAAATTCTTTAACAACGGAATAAAACTTAATTTTTAAAATTCGACGTATTAGAGATAAAAGTGGAAGATATCTACGGGATTTTTTTCATTTACTCCATTTGGAACATTAGGCCGCTCCAATTGATTTTCAAAGTCATGCTTCAATTTCATAAGTCATTGAGTTATTGATATTTGTTTTTTGTTTGTGTGACCAGGTTTTGAATCCGAGATCTTTCGGTTAAAGTGCCAGAGTAAATGAACGCTTGGTACTTAACTATTCTCTTAACTTCTACTTGATAAAGACTGGTGTAATTGAGGGTACGAGTAATATATCTAAACACTGTTTAGAATTGTTAAAATAAGTGTTAATTTATTAATTTTACAGTCTCTTTAAATCAAAAGATAAGGCAATCAACCTGAGTTTATTAATCTAAAACTTTAAAATGTTCGAAGAAAGTTGATTAAATACAATAGATCCTTTGTAAATAAAGTTTTTTGTTTTAAAAATTCTATACGCATACAAATAATATGAGTGTATATTAAAATTCCTTTTGTATATTATATATCTGTATTAACATTGAATATTAAAGCAATAAATTGTAGAACAATAGAAAATCAGGTCAAAGTACATCTACTTTTAAGAAAACCTGTTACTTTGGCATGTACAAATATAGGGCAATGAGAATATTATACTATCAATAATGACGCAGCGTGTCATTATTTTTTTGCAGAGTTCAAAAATATTTATAACTCATCTTAGAAACAAAAAAAAACCAAAACAGTCTAGACGCCAGTTAAAGACTGCTGAATATAATTCTATAACATTATAACTAAAAACATAACATGAGATGGAAACAATATTGTAAAACAATATTAATTAAAAGTTCTCTCCTTTTTCAATTGTGCTACATATATATATTTGATATACGCGAGCAAATCAATTAGTAAGGAAAAATTCACAGCATCCACTTTTAACTTTTCAAATACTCATTGAATAAGTTGCAATTTGAAGATCTAAACTACTAAATGTGACAATAATACAAAAAGTAACAAAAACTCGTTTGAAATTGAACCTTGCAAAGGTTTGCTTTAGACACATTTACTAAGGATACAATAAAGATGCAGCTATACTTTAGTGTTAATGTGAAGAAGAGAAAATAAATTAATCTTAGACAGGGAGGTCTATCCAAATGCCGGCTAATGAGAAGGTCCGCCTCACATCAACAATAGAATCCCATGTGAAAATAACCACATCTATGAAAAAATAAAATCATGCTGACTAAGCTACTATTGCATTTAACCATAACTTCTTTCAGGAACTTTGAATACCGCAATTAATGTACTGCTGATAGTTTTATCAGTTCTTTCTTTCACATCACTGATGAAAACGTACACAGACCATAATTCACGACACCCACCGCCCCAGTAAACTCATTTAGCAAATCGATAGCGTCATAACTTTTTATAAAACAAAAAGTGTTTACGATTGGAATTGAAAAAACTATGTGAATAAAATTTAACTTTAATTTGAAGAAAAAAGGCTTAAAACTTTTTTATTATGTGAAATTTTAATTACATTAAAATACTCACTGAGGTTCATGTTCCAACATTATTGAGGCCTTCATTACATCACGTTTTACAACAGGTCCAATACGAATTGCAGAATACTGTAAAAGAAAAAAAAAATAATAAACATAAAATTAACAATACAAATTTTAAATAGGAAGCTATTATGTGTATCAGAAAAAAATATTAGTAAATTTCATGTTACAATTGTTATCCCAAATCGTAAATTCTACAACATCCTCATATATAAGGAGCATGATTATACTACGTAATAAGTTAGATGGATCCCGATAGTCGCGTTCAAGAAGCAAAATTTTTTTTTCAAATTAATACACAACTTAAGGGCACAGCACATATTAAACGATGTCTCATACTCCATCTTACAAAATCTGTATATTGTATTTTGTAAGTTGGTTACCAGAAGAAAAATGTCGGACCATGGCTTACTAAAGATTTCTCTTTATTAAGGAAACTGAATAACTGCCAAATTGTCAACCATAACAACTATATAGGGGAAATTTCTTGTAATGTATGGGTAGAAATCACTGAGCCTCAAAAATCAATTATAAGTTCTTGGATCAAGCGAAAATATTCGGTTTAGAAAAAAAGTTTCATCTCATATTTAAATTTCTCTAGAGTTAAAATTTCAAAAGCAAAAAATTCTTTATGGAATGTCGAAAATCTTGAATTTAACCCTGAAGCAAGAATTATAAATAATTTTGTCTTATAATTTTTTATAAAACTTTAAAAAGAAATCATCGTTTTCTAATAAGTTTTCCCGGTTCGTCTATGAAAATTATTAATATTTTTTTTTTTTAATTTTGTTTAGTCTTACTAGAAATGAAGACTATAATAATTCAAAATATACAAGGAAAATTTTTGAAATGCTGTTTAAAACCTCGAAATGCACAAATTAATTACAAAAGTGGCAAGCTTATTCGATAACAAAAGCAAGTCTTTTTGTCTTGCAAATTGAGTTGCATGGAGATTTCTTAAATAATTAAACGCACTGGTTAAGTTAGTAAAGTTAAATCTATCTCAGTTACTTTCTTAGTAAATATTGGAAATTAAATAAAAAACAACGAAATCAAATTCTAATGAAAGTTGCTATCGAGACTATAAAGTTTGAACAAACAAAAATTAAAACAAGAAAATTATAAGAGACCAAATATCTTGTCGTTTTTTTTAATATTCAAATAGAATTTTCCGGCATTCCAAAGTGGGAATTTAGAACCTTTGCATTTTTATCGATTTTGGCATAATTTTCTTGCCATGCTACTCGTATATACGTGTATGAACAGTTTTTTTTAATTATTATTGCTGTAGTTTATTAAAATAAATTTTTGTTTTATACATGGCTCTCCAATTATTTTACAAATTTCGAGTTTTGTATCACGTTTATCGTATAGATTTTACTTACTTATTTATAAAATATTATGTAGAATTTTAGTATAATGTAGAACAGATTGCTATTTCGTTCAACGGCATGCTGTTAAAGAACTTTCAAAATTATTATAGAGGTGGTGCCTCTAATTTACGATTTCATTAAATGATTTTTTTTAACTTTATCCAGAATTTTATTTTAATTTTACACCAAATTTAATTTATTAAAACACGTTAAACATATTGCATATTTTTAGGGAACACAAAAGTAAATCGCTTGATTGTGGAATAATATCGTGTCAGATCCGACAAATATTTTGAATTAGATTAAAGCAACTGTGCAAGTAACAATTGTTCTGTAAATAACAACCGCATATTTATTTGGACAAATTTCGATACCTCTGGCAGTATATTAATGCGATTTCATCAAACTTATGATTTTGTGAAGAAATTTAGCGTATTTTCAAAATTAAGCTAAAAATAACAATATCCAGACTGATTAATCTACTATACACTCTCTACCTAGTTTTTTCTTCATTCTTTTAAATTTAGCCGTAAAAAATCTAACTACAATATAATTATGCATAATTATTTTTTTTTTCTTCTTTATTATATAATAAACAAGTAACTTCCAAAACGTTTTTTTTTTCGGTATCCAAACATACAAGTAATTTGAAATTTTTATGCATAACGAGCATGAGATTTCATCGATTTTAGAATAAGAGAAACGAATTTACTAACATGCATACATATGATATGCTTATGATTAACTACTATAAGAAATGGGGGAAAATATTAATCTTACATTACTAAAGCATTTTACACATATGTATAACTGTGTGTATGTATGTATACAATTTACTTTTTGCTAAGATGAAGTGTTGTGGAAAAGAAATTTCCATTCATAACAATTTCATTTTTTAACCATTTTTTTTTTGTTTTTTCTTTAAATGTTTTGTTTTTTACTTTTGTAAAAAAACAAGAGCCGTCAACATAAGTATGTGTATGTATGTATGTAAGAACATAAGTACATACATAAAAATTTTCTTGTTTCTTCAACCTTGAAGCTTTACTTTGGATTGCATCCGCATTTTTAATATTATGAGGACGTTTACTTTATACTTTAAACTTTAATAATCTAGCATTTTTTTATTTTTATGTTTTTTCTTCTTGTTTTTATGTTTTTGTTTTTCGTCAATTTTCATTTAAATTTTTTTAATTTTTTTGTTATTTGTTTTTTTTTTTTGTTTTTCTTCATTTGTGCGCTGAGAAAATTATCGTTGTCTACTACTGAAACAAAAAAAAAAAAATTACCCAGAGAGAAAAGTAGACGAAGAATTTTTAAGACGCGAACATTTTTGTTATTTTTTTAGTAGCGTTTTATTTTTTTTTCTTTCACGTTTTTTTGTTTTGTTTCTTTTTTTTATTTATTCTTTCATTTTGTCGTTATTTAAATGGCGACGAAGTCGTTCATTAAACTTTAGTCTGGTTGAATTTCGATTATATGTGAAGAAACTAAAAAAATAACACAAAGAAAAAAGAGAAAAATTAAAAGCGATTTTTTGTTTTTATTTTTTTTGCTTTTTTTTAGGAGAATTTCATTTCTGAATGAGAATTCCAGAAAATCTAGGTTGGTTAATGGTTTGTTTTTTTTTCATTGTTTTTTTTTTTTGCATGATATATTCTGGTTGTTTTTATTCTTCTTCGCGTTGTTTTTTTTGTTCGATACAAGTGTATGTAGTTAAGTTCAAGGCTGACTAACCAGCTGGTCATTTTAATAGAATTCCATTCATAAAATTTATTTTGTAAATTGCTTTTTTTCTTGTTTTCCAAGTGAACAAGTTTTTCTTTTTTTTTTTGGTTGCCATTGACGCAATTTAGAAATTATAAAATTTGAAACAATGTTTATATATTCACACATAATTTACTTTATAATTATTATAATTTTTTTTTTAAGTTCAATTTATTTCGTAAACTAAAGCTTACATACATATATAATTTACATATGTAAGCATAGCACATTAGTAAAATTTTATTTTCCAGTTTTATTTTTAATAACTTTAAATTTTAAAAAAGTGCAGAATCTAACCAATCATTTGTACAAAATCACATATCCCCTTAGCAATTTAAGTATTTAGAGTTAGAATTTTTATGTAGCTTAAGGTTAAAGTAATGGAAACGAAAGAGAGAGAGAGAGTCAGCTATCCTAGCCGGCTATACGTTAAGTTATGGCAATGATTTGTTGGAATAATTCCCTTATGATCTTTTCCTTATTTTATTCCTCCCTTAATTTTGCATAAAATTTTGAGAAAAATATTAAAGTAGCAATTTTTTCAAAAAAAAATTAGGTCTTCTAAAAAAACCTCTGGTATCATAAAATATTAACTATACAAACTGTTGAAATAAGAGACATATCCGAAAATTCGTGTAGGAGGAAATTTGTTCGGGCTATTGTCAAAAAAGCGGTTTGATATAACAATTAATTTAAGATTTCTTTTCGAGATTTTTTGATAGAAGAAAAATTTTCTGACTATTTGACAAAATTTAAGTATATTTTTTAGTTTAGACACCATAATCTTATTTCTCAAACTTTGAAGAACAATAACTTGGAGGAAATAGGAAAAAATTGTGCTCTATAAAAATAATGTCTTCACTTGGATCTAGAAAATTTTACTTTTCTATTTGTGTTTCTATTTTGAACGGAAAGGTCGGTAAAGACAGACACAGTAAAAATAATAGCCACATTTTTTTCTGTTTTTCTCTTTTTGGAATTATATCAAAAAATTTGAAGTAAGAATAATTTTACAATATCAACACTTTATAAAATTTATTTAATTTTTAATTTAACTATCAAAAATATCAAGATGTACGAATATTTTTGAAATTTATTTTCGTCTCTTCTTTAATTTTCGAAATATAAATACAAGTAGGGTTGCCAAAAAGTCTCTTTTAAAGAGAAATTGCTCTCAAATATTTATTAAATATATTGATATTACCCTAAAACAGGCGACTAATTTAAGCACCATACCAATAAAGAAGCAACGAAGCTGGCGTCAAGCAAACTCCTTTAACTTTGTCAACTATAAACATATAACGACTATAGAACAGAACGGAACAGCTTGTGAAAATTGTGCTAGAGAACGAAGATAACTGGAATTGTGATAGTGAAATATATAAGATAGCTAAGAAGAAAAACCCACTAAAAATTAAGAAATCTGGACAAATTTAGAAAAAAATCAGGAAAACTCTAGGAAAACATGAAAAAACTATTAAACTGATTCAAGACTTAATATATTTAGTTGAGAACCATTTAAATTGAAGCATATTAAAATAAATTTGTTTTAGCTACTTAGATTGATTCAGTCAAACCTATAATATCAGATAGCATGTCTAACACATACAGTAGCCCCAAAACTTTTTTTTCACATGAAATTTAATTTGAAAACGATACCACTCTTAAAAATGTGTAATGCTTTCCTACAGCTAAAAAGAGAACATGATAACTAAAATTATTTAACAAAACACACAATTCATTTTTTAATTCGTTTACTAGTTTTTCGGACTCATCATGACATATTATAAGAACTAAATTTAAAAATTTAAAATTGGTAAAACAAAAAAAAGCAAATGTACAACTGTATTATGGTATATATGACTATATACCATAAAAATACAAAAAAAAATGTATAAATACGAGAATAAAAAAAAATTAAATCCA